AATTGATAGATTCTACATCAAAACAATTAGCTTTTATTGTTTCCAATGATAACGTCATTTTAAGAGAAGGAATGCAAACCAGTTTTCAAATGTAAGGCTTTGAATGTGTTTGACATTTCTCAGTAATAACACCCTCAGACACTCACTATCATTTATGCTATGCCTTCAGTAGTGACTCAGATGTTAAGGGGAAGAAGCTTTTCCTCCCAAATCAGATATGCTTTGTTTTTCAACAAAGGTATGCATTTTCTGCATAATATATGTTTCTCACAATTGTTTGTTTTTTTGTAAGCTGCACACAGGTGATACTGAGTCTTCTCGAGTAATAGATTACACCATGCTTAAATAGACTCCTAAGTTATTATTTCATATGTGACATATGTAAGAAAAGGGAGGGAAGAGTTAATTATTGAGTAATTGATTTTATATTGGAACATTTATTTCTCAAACCTATGTTTTATGGAAGAGGAAAATATTTCTGATAAACTAATCTTTTATCAAACGGTAAATGGTGAATTAATATAACATTTAGAATCATTGAGAAGGGGTTATATCCACAGGGACTAGCTCACTTTTAAATTACAATAACATTTCTCGACTTTGGACTGATGAGTTTATGATTCTTGCATGTTAAATGACTAACACAAACCTTACATTTATGCATGTGCATGTCTCAGGAAGGCTCCCAAATAATTCTGAGGGGCCTATCCTATTTTTGTATTTAAATGATAATGTGCTAATCCATTACCTTGAGTTGTCTGCACTCAGGAAAACATCCCTATCAAGTGTTAACCCAATAACTACAGTAGGACAGCTCTGAAGGCCAAGGGTCAGAGAGAGAGCTACGTGGGTCCACGCCAGCCACTGACAACGCAACCGTGAGCAATACAACTGGCCTGGCCCAGTGATGTGGGGTTTAGCTCGCCACAAGATTACGTTTGGTTGTGCGGCGACAAGCTCTATCAAGTTCTGGCTCCCCTCTGGATAGGTACATGCACTCTAGTGGATTTGAATCCAGCAATCAGGCTTAACAACACTACTCTTTAATGTATTATCCATGCATAGAAAGACCTACAATGATGTTTCAAGTACTGGATTAATTTCAGTTTTGGCCCAAAACAAATATTTATAATATTTCATATAACAATTATGTAGCATATTTGATCCTCAAATTAGAGAAGTATAATTTAAAGAAATTGATATTCTCAACATTAGATAAACACAGAAGAATCCTTTCCAAGTACCATAAGTAGCTCAGGTAAGTATGGCTAATAGGAATACTTGATAGACTTAATTTGGTACAGATCAGTGGTAGCATTTACAAATGTAATAATTCAAGGTTTAAAAATGTTTAATCCTTCCTTTCCAGGTTTTTACAAAAGTCTTTGAATATTTGCCTAACTTTTCCTTTTCAGATTTTGAACAATGTACTTGACTAAAATGAATGTATTGATTTCACTAAGTGCCTTACTCTTGACTAAAGCGTATTTAAGTAAACGTAAAAGTAATCCTAAAATTGAGGACACTGCACTTTTGCAGATTACAGATTGATCAAATCACCAGTGTGAATTCTATACTCTAACTGTGAATGTTTAGCTGGATCTCTTACGATCCTGAGTTTTAAAATGCTTTTGACTAGTGATTGCCTTGAAGTAAATCTTTAAAGCGGCAAGCTGGTTTTGATTTTATAGTTTGATGAATGAAATTAACTAATGGTAAATGATCAAATATATTAGTTTAAAAACAAATATTTAGCCATTGTGCACCTGTGTTTTATGTGTGTTCATTATTATGCTTTTGACAAAAGATGATCAAACACTGATGAGAGATGATTTTTCCTATTATGATTGGCTGTATCAATCATTGTGATTGAATGTTTCAATCTTATTCCACTTTGTGATATAATTGATGTAAGGTGAGACCACACTCGAACCTGGAGACGCCTATTGAGTTAATTATTGACCAAATTATTATTAGACTAATGTTTTTAGGTTATCATAAATGATAAAAAGAGAGGACTGTTGTGGAAATAATTATCATAAGACGCCAATTAGTAACATACAGGACAAACCTCGATGTCTGTTTACCTTCTTTAAGGACACAGGCGGCTTAGCCAATAATGTTATTGTTCCCATTCTGTGACCGGTCAATACTGGGATACAGATGGTCTGTGTTGTGGGTACACTGGGACACTTCCTTCTCTGTATTTGTGGACTCCAAGGTGAAATCTTCGAGGTCATAAGTGTCCGAGGCAAGTAGCTCTGTGTTCCCACACTGTTTAGGCTATCTCCTCAAATATGTTGTTTACTCTCTGCGAAACCAGTTAGATGGGCTGGCATGAGAGAGGCTCTCCAGAATTGACGTGGCAACTCTACCGTGAAGTCAGAACCTCTGACTCTTGGACTTGTGATGTGAATCCTCCGGCCGTTTAACTCCAAATAAACCATCATGTGTTTGACATCAAAGCTACTGCTCTTCCCGTGTCTCCTTCCTGAGTCGGTGACTCCCACTACATAGCTACACAGAAGTTTCCGTTACAAGGGTTTTATGTGAATCTTATATCCTCTTTTCCTTTCTTTTATTCATATCAAAGTTTTAAATCCTAAATGAATCACATTTTAAGCAATAGGTGTGATTTAGCAAGGAAAATGAATCGGCTCATAATGAGAGGCCTGTATAGAGTTGATTTGTCTGAAATCAGTGAACCATCTTTTTAAAAAATAAGCTATATTTTCCTTGTAACGCTGCATAAAGTACGGGCCTTACTACAACGGAAATATTGACGGTAACTAACGTGTCCAATTAGGCTTTCCAACCACACAAAGGGACGATCCATAACTGCTACTGGGATGTTCACTAGGTACCAAACTGTATTGTCTATGCAAGCAGAAAGCCCATCGCTTTTTCAACAACATGGATTTCCACAAAACAGTAAAAGTTTGTTTTATGAACTGCAACCCAGCTCTCTCAAGTATTTGAAAATCCATTTGGAAACAAAGGGAGAAAACACACAATGAGAAAACTATTAAAGACGCATTAGAGTGGTGAGTTTCAGAAAAAAGGAGCTGAAAACGCTTGCTGTGTTACTGGCCAGCCCTGGCAGAGGATGCTGAACAGTTTTCCACATTAATCAAAAGACAGTCCGTCACACTCACAGCATGCCGTAGGCAATTAGAGAGATACTTTATATCACCATCACCTCGATTAAACCGGGCCACCGCCAGCAGCCGCCCAAACACAACAGAGGCTCCGGCTGGAGGGTTAATAACACAAACTTTTTGTGAGCTTACTGAAATAAGAGCTATTATTAGATTTGGCAGCCACGGAGAGAGGTTTAATGAATTATTTCCAGCTATAAAGATTGAGAAGAAGTGAGAAACTGTTTCCATGCAGTTTAGCCCATCAATTACAGACACTAAACACATTAGGCAAAAGCACAGAAGCAAACAAGCGCTGATTAACATTCAATACAAGCTGTTAACAACAAACGGGAGGGGATGTTTTATTTACTAGCCGTGCTACAGCAAGTATCCCATTAGATCTGAAGGCTTTTCTAAAAGCACCTCTAGATGTTCTCACTCAAAGTATTGATTTAAACTTCAAGTCTTTTGTTATTATTGAATTATAGCTTCTGATTTTTATCCTGGAAATATTTGGTGCTGGAATAGGCTTTCAAATGTCCATTTTATATTCTTTGCAAGGGCTGGACTTCAGTTCAAAGTAAAATGTGATAAGGTGTTCTGACCTCAAACTTTCAAAACAAGGTAGGACACTAACCAGACAATGACATTGGATCAGCTGTGACCCGAAGAAAAGGACAAAGACCCCTTTAGAAGGATTTCTTAGGTCACAAGACGGACAAAACAAGGTCAAATCTAGGACATGAACACCACAGAAGCTATAAACGTGGCACTGGTGATTACAATTACATACAGGCTAATATAGATGAAACTCCTCTTCCAATTTCTCCAAACACACTCTGGCGTTGAGAAAAGGGACCACACCAAATGACAAACAGAAGTGTGTGAGGAGAGATTATGTATAAGCTGTCTTCAGTCAGAGTTTGCTATCACTCCATACCATTTACTGTGATCCCAGAGTCAACATGTACACTAAGTATTGTCTGGCAGCAGCAGGCCTGAGCTGTGGCTGCAGGTGAGACAAAGGAGGAAGAAGCAAACTCCTGGATCACAAGAAGCTGCTTTTAAAAACACCTACATTCTTATATCAACACATTTAGAAGTGTCTCAGTGGGGATCAACAGTGATACTGACGGATAAAGTAAAAAGCATATGCTGCTTCTGGACATTTTTAGATAAGCACAACCAAACTTGTGTTCTAAAAGTGTTTGAATAAGCCATGCAGTATAAGTCAATGTTTCCAGCAGTCAGTAAAGGTTTGCTTGTTTTACCTCAGGTGCTTTAAGCTGCTCCTGAGACTCTCCCTCTTTATCTGAAATCTTGTTTTGAATGTCAGCAGTTGTCCTCACATCCCTCTAAATCAGCCAACAAACAAAGACTTGTGTTAGAGTTAACAACATGTTCAGAGGAGGGAGAAGTACTCTAGTAGAGCTACCAGATTGTAGGAATACTTACGAGTAAAAGTCCTTTATTCAAAATGTTACTCAAGTAAAATTATAAAAGTATTACCAACAAAATATACTTAAAGTGTTTATCAAAGCTGGTGAAGGTGCAGCTAACTTTATTTACTTTGTAAGCTGCAGGATAGCTTGTAAACGTTACTTCATTGGGTAACTAAAGTCATTTTTAAAGTGTGGTTTATATTTCACATCATTCATGTAGTGGAGTAAAAGTACACTATGTACCTTGTTACCTGTAATTGTAGTGGGGTACAAGTACAGCAGTGGCAGACAATTTAATTACTCAATTAAAAAAACCTCAAGTCCCTCAAAATTGTACTTAACTGCAGTACTGTTGAGTAAAGGTACTCATTTACTTTACACCACTGGCATGAACACATCATATGACCCCCCCTCTCACCTGGCAGTAGCCGGTGAGCTGCTCCGCCAGGCTGTGGATGTGAAGCATGTACTGGTGCAGTCTCCGCTGGTGCTGCAGAGCAGAGAGCTGGGCCTCGGTCTGCAGAGCTGTCACCTGGGCCAGCAGGCTCTGCTCCCTGCGGTTCCACCTGAGCCTCTGCATCCGGGTTTCATGCTCCAAAGTGGCGCTTCTTTCCTCCAGCGCCTCGGTGACGGTGCGCAGAGCCTCCACACAGCAGTGCTGCCCGGAGCTCATGTCCTCACCGGAGAGCCGCAGCCCGCATCCTCTCTGACAAACACCTCTACTCGCCTGCAGCTCTGTTTGCGACTCCATCAGGCCTCGGTTTAAAACTTGACAGGTTGGCTCCTTTTCCGCGCGAGCAGTCGGGCAGTCAGCGCACATAGTTTGCGCAATGCGCGGATAACTTTCCTGGGCAGTACAATGAGTTAGGAGAAAGTTATTTAACAAGTCTGAACACATGAAAGCGTAACAGCACTAAAAAGTTTGACCGGTCTGCGCAGCTCACGCGGGGCTGAGGGGCTGCGCCACTCCTGACGCGACATCAGATGAGATGTGAAGTCTGACTGAGGAGAAAACTTCAGCCTGCTGACTCACTTGTGCACTCTGCTCAGGGTCAATGCGATTTTCCTGTATTTCACACAATTTGATATATCTGACTTTATTTTCACGCCTTAAGTAAAAACATCTTTAAAATCTGGTTTTATTGTGAAGTTTGATTTAGTTTTGTGCGGTTTTAAATGGTGAGCAGCTGCTGTGCACTTGATGTGTGTTATAGATCCTCACCAGCAGAGGCCGCTCTTTCTTTCTCATTCTGTCAAATAGTTAGTTATTGGAAACATGATCTCAAAACTGGATGGAAAAGAGTTATTTAACAGCCCACATCCTGATTGTCTATGGGGTTTTATTGTGCATCATATTAACCCTATATTAAAAGAGTCTACCTCTGGACCAGCAGTGATGACATGTCAGTGAAACGTGTCTCAAGGGGGCGATGGTCCCTCTGTGGTTAAACCCTGGCTTGTAACACAATATCTGCAAGGAGACTTTCACTAATAAAGCCTTGAGTCCGGGCCAGTGTTACTTACTGCCTGACACAGCATGACATATTGCAGACATCTCAGAGAAGGGATCACGTTTCAGGTCTCCCAGCGCAGCAGTCTGGTTCTCGTCTGCCTTGCACCACTTTAAAGTATGTTTTGTGTTGTCTGAGCTGTCAGAGAACAGGTGTAGATTTACCAAGACAATAGCAGAATCTGTCCTGGGACTGCACACCTGTCTGCAAAAACACATGCACAAGGAGGTCAGAGGAGTTTGTTTTTCCTCCTGTCAATCACCATTAAGGAAATAGTAGCTATTGTATTACTCTAAAAAGTGATTTTAACATATTTAATTAGAGTTATATGAACTATTTCTCAGCAAATAGCTATATTTCCAGTCTGGACATTGTATGTAGGAGCAGTCAGGATCACAGCAGCCAGGGATATTGTTAGTGTGTTTTTGGGGAAAGTCTTACACAGCCACCTGGGATCAGACCTATCACACAGGCCATATGCTTGGACTGATAAGCCACTGAAAGAAAAGTTATCTCCGTCTTTTGTTCTCTCTCTGAGCTGATTTCAGTGAATAACCGTTACGACCCCCTGATTGAAGGGAAGACATTTCCAAAAGCTCAATAAGAATCCAAAATCTGATTGATTTGGTCTGCCCTAATCCATGAAGAGAGCTGATTTCAATCTACTTTTCATCTGCTGGATACCTGATAGGAGACAAAACTGAAACAGCTGTTTCTGCCTGAAAAACTAGAAATTGACAGAGATGGCCTTATCTGTATTAGAGGGCATATTGAAAAGCTATCGCTGATATATCTGGTGCTGGTAAAGAGATTTCTCCTGGAGACAAACTTGGTTTAAAAAATAAAAAGGTTTAAAATCCACCCATAAATACAGCTCTTTATAGAAATACTTGCTTTGATAATAGAAGATATCTAATAAATAATAAATGACATTCCAGTTTCTCTTATTTGATGTGTGAAAGCTGCAACACTGCTATGAATATTTCAAATATAACAAGTTTAAAGTTACCATTTTGTGTGAAATATTGTAATCCCAAAGCTGCAAGGACACAGCAGCAGGTGTTGTTTTTCTTTCAAACTAAATTCCTTTTTGTTTAAATGTGCAGGTACATCAAAGGGCAGAGGGAAATCACCAGAGTACCAGTTGTCTGACTCAAGTGGAGGATCTGTCTGGATTTGATAGCACTTCTTACAACCTTTGAGACATTTGCTTTGTGTGTGTGAAATTGTGGAAATGCCAAACAGAAAACATTCTCCTGGGGTGTCGGCTTTGCTTTGGCTTTCATAGATGGACTTCTATTTTTACATCTGTATTTCAGGTTTGATTCATAACTTATTCACTAGTAAACTCAGGCTGATTTACTGTTCACTTTTAAACTGGGAATCTTCACTTCTCCTTTTCTCTTTACATGGTATTTACAGCTTTAATCTATAGTGCAATACAGGGGCTCAAATCCACAATCCTTAATCGGAGGATAAATGAATTGTGCATTACAGAAATGCAACAAAAGTGCATCTATTGCTTGATAATACTTAAACAATTCAGAACTTATCCTTAGGGTTTATTTTGGTCATACTCTATTTACATTATGCATATTCCTACTTGAATTGAGAGTCAAAGTAATATTAGAGATCTCCCTTGATTAATGACACCAACATTGTGGTAGATTGATCTTCAAATACGAACTCAGGTGCTTAAGTAGTTTCCACATTATGTGACGTTGTACTTCTTCTAGTTTAAATAGAAATATTGAACTTTTTTCCACTACATTAATCTAACACTTAATAGTATAGGTTGTTTTTCAGATCAACATTTTTACATATATTTATGAGGAATACAGTTAAGAATTGCTTCATTGGTATTTATTTAAGACTTTTTAAAAGGGAAAAAGTGAAGGTTCCCTAGTTCCTCCTTTGTAAGGAACTGTTCTGTGTAACAATACTTCTAAATATGATACTTCATTATGTTTTCATATGTAATTTCTTTGACCTCAATTTTGTAAATGTAATTGAGTATTTTCAAGTTGTAACACTGTTACTTCATTGACCACGGACCGTAAACCACACCAATACTCAGACAGAAGTTCTCTGAGCTGCACACACACACTAACAGTCAGAAAGGTTAGTGCAAAACAAGATAACACATGAGAGCATTTTAATAGTTAACTACACTTTTATTGTTCCTTTTCCAGCCAATGATAGGTTCCAGTTTCATCCCTCACAAGTGCCATTCAAGTCCAGCGAAGCACTGAACTTCCAGCTAACAGCCAAACATGCCGCCACGGATGCTATCAAACCGCCTCCATCGTGTGTGAGTCTGCAGGACCATTTCTGAACTTGAATGAGTGAGATTCCTTTAGTCAGTTTAAGACTTTCTCCATAAAAAATCCTCTCCCAGAGACATCATATGAGATGACTGGCTTAATGAAGCTTAACAATACAGATTTAGGCTCTACACGGTCTCTGACGTAAAGGGATGTCACTCGGGAATGGAATGTATTTCACATGAAGCTGAGAGGTTGACAAGTTGCTATGATGACGATTTGTTGCAAAGTAATGTACCGCTTCGTCTCCAATGTCATGCATGTTAGAATGTAGAGCCGCCGCTTCGTCCAAAAGTTCAAGGCATTCATGCATTTGGCAACTCTTTTATGATTTGTCGCATGAAGTAAAACTGGGAAAAGCACTTTGTGGTGGATGTTGATATAGTCACAATGTAGAAGCATGGCCAGCATCAGTCTCACAGGAAATGAATCAGAGGAATTCAAAATGCAGCATTTGTTCTCCTCCATTCGAGGGAAATAATGTTTTAAACTGTCCAACCAGAGGTGGGTCATGACATACAAATATAATAATAGTAAACAAAAAAACGACAACAGTTGATAATGTTTATATATCTCTGATCACATGTTAATAAAAAGACAAAAACGGTTCAGTGGAAACAACGTCATGAGATTTTGATGGGCTCCACTGACATGGATGGCTTTGCTTTTCGTCTGCTAATGCCAGATAATGAAAAATTATATATACAAGATTACTGTTAAAGGAGCTAGGCAAGTTGTCTTATTAGAAAAGATAAAGTAGCCACAGATGAATCGTACATTGCACAATTATTGGAGGGCATGAGCGTCGCTACCTTTACACTATAACTGTTAATAGTGACTCTCACACAAAGCCATAAGCGAGTGAGATGAAATGAAAATGATTACACAAAATAAAATGCCAACATTCTTTACAAAGCACCCGCTGGTACCACTGAGGTCCTAATGATACAGTCAAAACAAAAGTGTTTTTTTAGTCAATTCAACAATGACCCAGATGTTGTGGCAAAGCCTTGATCACTGCACCGTTTTACAAATATACTAGAGGTGGCCGGCAATAAAAATAACCACAGTCTTCTGCTGAAGTTTTAAATTGGACACAGGATGTCTGATATGTTGTTCGGTTCACTTCCTGCTCCGACAGTATGGTGTACATCGTTTTTTTAATATGGATCCATTTCGCTAAACTCCAACACACTTTTAAACACTTTTTTAACTCTTCTTCCATGTAACAATGTTGACATGCACACAGTTTTGACAGTGGTTTTCTATCAATTGATATTGCATATTAGATTAAAAAACAATATCAATTATTGGATACATTATTTCAGCATGACATAGCTTGTTTCTCTATGTTTGTCAATAAGAATCAAGTATGAAATAATGAGATTCGCTTTGACTGTATCTTTGTAAGGGTGTGCTTCATTTAAAAAAGAAAATACCACTGAACTGCAAGTAAAGAAAGACATAAAGACATTTTTATAAACGAATACACTTATCCTTCACAGCTACTTGTTTACCTTATACTATGGAATGCGCTGTGGGATAGATTTTCTAAAATATCCTAAATCAAATGAAGCCCACATTTCTGAACCAACAGCGTTTTTATCTACAGCATATAAGAAAGGTCGGCTTCATGATGTAAAAAGACTTAACAGCCAACATAAAGTGTAATGCTCACACTTCCAGTCATGATCCATTTTAAAACAAGTCATTGTGAAAGATAAGTGCAGTCGTTTATATAAGGCATATTTAAGTTGACTCTTTTGACACCCCTCCAAAGAGGCTTTTTATGGATACATAAGGGATGTCTTTGTCCAATTCTTCCATTTCTGTGTATATTTCCACAAACATATCCCAGAGGGCAGGAGTTGGAATATATAACGTCCTGGGGGTTACGGGGTGGAACCAAAAGATAGTGGAAATAGTCCCAAAGTCCCTATAGGCGTCAACCGTAAAGAGTCTCCTTCACGAAGGACAAAGATGGCGCTACATTCAGAGGTTCAGGCAGAGGAGGGCCAGCAGGAGCAGGGAGAGGAGGCTGAGAGCCGGGGCGGCCAGGACCCCCCCACCTGAGAGACAGAGAGAGAAGAAGAAGGGTCAGATTCTGCTTTTCTGCTGTGCAATACCACTGTTTATGTGGCATATACAGAATGTGCAATATTTTAAACATTTTAAAGTATATATATTTACAATTTCTAAATGTGACTGGCTCCTTCGCTCATTTGATAACTCACTTTTTAAAAATATTGCAGATTTTTTACCATGGTCCACTCGTTTTTTGTCTTTTATCTGCACTGTTCCTATCCTGCAGTAATACTGTACATTCCCTGCTGCAGGATAAATAAAGGATTTCTGATTCTGAAAAAGAACAATCAAATGTGTTGCTGATTGTATGGGAAAAATATCTAAATATATCTATTGCGTGTCTTGCTCTCATCCATCAAACTAGAAACCATGTTTGGTGCCTGAAGTGTGATATTATACCCCATGTGTGCTGAGATCACCTAAAATGCCTCTTCATTTGTCAATGCCCTGCATTTGAAATCCCCCACAGATTAAATTCCCGGGTCTGTGAAATCGAGCTGTCAGGTGGGTCTGCACTGAGCGATAAGGGATAAGGAAAAGCACAGGAGGGGTTTCCTCTACTCATCAAGATCAATTACAGGGGCTTAAGGCCTCCTCCATCCAGTCAGCCTACCTGTCAGTCCATCAGCCGGAGAGGGGGCTATCAAGGCTTTAGTCACGGACTGTAAAGTTTCCCATCTCAGCCCCCCCAATCTAAAGTCTGAAACCCTGAGTGTCAGCGCTGCGGCGGCCCATGGGAACCCTCTAGCTGTGACGGATGATAACCCAGCGCCAACTTTGAACCTTGGATAATCTCAGTAGCAAATGGCAGGCCAGGAATGAACAGTGTCCCTTCAGCAGTGTAGATTTAAAATGAGATTTGATAACTGAAGGCTTTCTTTATTTATGTTCCACTGATGTGAAACTAAACCCAGGTGAAGACAGAATACAGTGGTATCCTCCGCAAGAGATTACTCTCACTCAACTAGATTTAATTTCAGTGTTCATTTAACACAACACACACTTGAAAGAAAGGGTCTTTCTTCTAAAGAAGTAAGTTGTTAAGTGTCTTCGGCTTTTCTGCCACCTTTTTATTGTTGTACTTTATTAGAACAAAGATGACCAAAAACAACAAATCAAACTCAGGCAACTTAGATAACCAAAAAATGCGATGTTCATTTAATTTATGCAATATACAAATTCTAAAAAGTAACTGACGGATCATTACATATTCTTATTTTGTCTATAAGTGATAAGTTAAAAATACCTTAAAATTCAAGATTTGTATTCTACTTTTTTATTCAAGCTTATCTTTTTCTGTCTTTGCCAAAAAAAGTGTGATTGGTTGGTTGGTTTGGTTTCTGTATACGTGTATTTCATTTTTTTTGGATCAAATGGAACCAACTTAAAAACAAACTAAATTATACGACTACCACATTATTCAGCATTGTAAACAAAGAGCAGGAATTCATGGTGGAGTGTGTTTGTTACCTGTGACGTAGATTTGTGACACGGCCCCATCCCCCCCCTCTGTGAACGCCCGGACCTCCACCACCCAGTTCCCCCCCTCGGGCAGGGGGAGGTTGATGTACTCCTTGTTGGTTACGAACAGCTTATTCTCGGTGTGCCCCTGCCGCCTGTACAGCACCTGGGTACAAACATGTCATGTATTAGAAATGAAAGGAGCCGCTTCTGTATACAGTGTGTATAAAAGTAGTGCTGTACCCACTTTATAACCATTTATCGACGCCTCGTTACCAATCGGTTCCACCATTTCCCAGGAGATATTCAATTTGTCGCCTTTAATCTTTTTCCCAATTATTTTGGGAGCTCGACTTGGAGCTGTTAAGACACCAAAAAAAGGAAAACATGGTTTAATTAAATTGAATGATATTGTTGTCAGAATCTGAATACTTTATTTATCCCAAGGAAAACTGTGATTTTCAAAAAATGAATCCAATTAAACAGAATACAAAATGTCCAATAAAAAGATTTAAGCATTAAAATAAAAATATGACATAAGTTAAAGTAAAAACATTCAGATAAAAGATTAAAACTTTTTTTTGTATATAAACATACTGTAAGAAGTTAAAGTACAAATGTGCACATTGTACTACAATATATAAAATGTATATTACAATATACACACAGGTGTATTTGTATAATAATAGTATATTGTAAGTAGGAACTAAACATGACTCCAAGATACAGTACATGTTTTACATGTAGTTAGCTGCAAGTCAATGCTAAACTGCTTTGAAGCACAACATACGGGGTCTCTTGGTGAGGATCTGGAAGGGCTCGCTGGCCGGCCCAAATCCTGCAGAGTTGTACGCCCGGACCTCCACCAGGTAGTAGGAGAAGGGCTTCATGCCCTCCAGCCTGGTGCTGTTCTCATTGGCGCTGACCACCACCCTCTGGGCCCCCCCCCTCACTGTCCTCTTCACTCCTCCAGTACTTCACCTGGGACACAGAGGAGCAGAGGATCCAACATCGGCTCGGTTATTAAGTGTAGCTTTTACGACACGTCTAAGAACTGATTTAAAGCATGAGGAAAAATATAGATGTCATAAACAGGTAAATAAATAGACTTCAGATCGGTTAAAGTTCATTTATAGAACCGTGCAGAAATTAAAGTTATACTAATGGTTGTTAGGATAAAAATAGAAAAGGAAAAGTTCTTTAGGAAAAAATGGCTACTACATGTATAGAGCAAAAATGTTTCTAGTAATGCATAAAGAAATCAAATAAAAAAGTATTTAGAGATTGAAATCTGTGTTGTGATTGTTACGATTCTATTCTAAAGAGAAGCATTTATTTATCTCATTGTACATGTATAAGGACATTAACGATTCTATTCTATTAGCCATGATGTCTGAAAACAGTAGTTAAAAACCAAATCACAAAGATATTTTCCAAGCTGCACCCCTCGACCCTATTTTTTCCCAGGAGGCCTCAGTGAAATGTTCTACTGACCTGGTATCCGTCTATATTGCTCTGTGCGAGATGCAGCCAGCGCACGGTGCCTTCTGTGGCAGAGAGAGATTTGCCATCCACAATGACAGGAGCTTCAGATGGAGCTGAGAAGAGACACAGTTTGGTAAAAAGGGTGCAGTAAGAGAACCTTACAGAAAACTCCAAAGTATTTTATATGTATGAACATATTGATACACTAATGGATCCATTAGTTACCCTGACTATAAACTATCCATGTGTATCGGCCACACCAATGCTGCATTTCTCTCTCAGTAGTGCTCAGGCGTCATTTTAGTAAAAATCACTCTTGGCCAGCACTACACTGGGCCAGAGACACTTCTCCGAGAATGATTGGCCGGTTATACACTGTGTGTTGGCTGTCCCTGCCAGGATACTGTCACTTTGAAAATAAATTGTCATGCGGGGCCTTGAAACGACAACTCATCACATACTGTCATCGTGTTGCACACAGAAACAAACGCACAAAATCAATTCTGCACCACCAGCACACAGAAACAAATGGTCACACCCCTGGAGGCAGAGCACTGTTGCAGGCTTCGCTATAAAATCACAGACGCTCAAACGGCAAGCATTCCCAAAGTGGGTTACCATGGCAACGGGGCATCTCTGTAACCTATCATGTCTGGGTTGCCAGTGGTTATCTCAACTGTCTGTCAGTGGAAGTTAATAACTAGGCTAAATGCTTTGCATCCTTGGGCGAATTATCAGCTTTCTGGTTCATGCTACATAGATCATGATAATCCCCCCGCAGGGAGAGGCGGAGAGAGGGGAAGATGGGTTCACTTTCAAGGGGGTATTAAAATTCCTCACAACTATACATGAGAACTTTTATTAAATGAGTCCCACTCCATTGGAAACCCTACTAGTGGTAAGTAGCTGACACTGACAGATTGTAATAGCAGAGTGTTGGCATACTGGAGAGTTCCTCATCCTGTGTGAAAACAGCACCGGGTATATCAGCGCGGCACATTTTCATTTTTTATGCTTCAGCGGTGAGAGTTGTACATCTCTCCAGTGCTTACCGTCCTGTGCAGAGTAAATGCTGGCTGTTAGGCTGAAGGGTCCCTCTCCTCTGCTGTTGAACGCTTTGACCTTGACCTGAAACTCCGTGGATGCAGGGATGGCGGCGTCTTTGTGGACGTAGTGCTTGGCCTGGGGGTCGGCCAGCGTCACCCGCATCCACTCCGCTCCGTCGTGTGGTTTGAAGGCCACAATGTAGCCAAAGTTAGACCCATAGTAGTACTGCGGCTGTACAGGCTGAGGACAGAAACATCCAAAATCAAACCGAAGTTTCCACAATCAAAATGATGCATCATATATTCATGCTAATGCTATAGGTTTAACAGCAAGATAAACCAAGTATATCTATATACTATAGGGATTCTAGATACTGTTAATTGCATCGTAGGTGATCCTTTTACCTTGTTAATTATTATTATATGTATTCTTTATTCAATGTTTTATTTATGTATATTTTTCTTATTATTTTTTGTTTGTTTTTGATCGTATGTTTGTTGGTTTTCGGTCCTGTTTTGCCTGTCCTTATTCAGTTATATTGTCTTTTCTAGTTGGACACCTGAAATGAAGCATTATATCCATCCCATAGGAATCTGTATCACTGCTGTATGTATGATATTTAATAACTTTGTTTAAAGCATATTGCACTAATAAGATCATGTTTACACTCTTTGAGTAATTTACAAAAAGTCGTGACACTTTTCTGGCTCGTCCCTCTTGATATGTCCTCATGCCTCATTTTCTTTGATGGCACTCTGCTCTTATTCTCACAGCATATGTTGGGTAAGACATGCCTGCATTAGGCACTGCCGCTAACCTCTAAACACATCTCATCCTCCAGCTGCTCGGGGGTTGAAAAGCAATGAGTAAGCCAAGCAAAAGGCAATTTACCCATGAGAGCTAATTCATCAAAGGCTGCGGCGGGGAAATGGAGGATAATGATTCTGGAAACACATTGATTTTTTTGTTGGTGTTGATTGTTTTGTATAAGATTAACAACACTTATTTTAGTTTAAGGTAAAATAAAATGCATCAGAGTCATGAGAATGTGTCCATCCATATTCTTTTTATTTATTTTAAATCTCCCTTGCATCCCACTGTAATAGCTGTGTTATCCTTCAGTTTTCTATTGTCCAACTATATTTGTTTCATTTACTTATATTTGCTTTGTTTAAGCATGTGTCTTCTTCTTTTGTAAAGGAATTTTACAACTTCGATGCTCTGGAATAAAGGTTATTATCGTTCTAAGAAAAGATTCTCCCCACACGTTACTGTGAGAAAATGGCATCATGTCTCCTTTCTTTGAGCTTTCTTTGAGCTAACTGTATGTTTTGACACTTTTCCCAGTGGAAAGTCCACACTCACCGTCCACGTGATGGTCAGCTCTCTGCTGGTCCCTCCGCCACCGCCCACATCAGAGGGCGCCACCACAGGAACTACAATGAGACGGCAACAGCAAAAACTCTGAGCCCACATGCTTAGAATCCACACAAACAATGCCAACCCACACAGGCTGTAACCTATCCCTGGCAGCAGTACTGACACATCCTCCCTCTGCAAACACAATATCAATATCTTCACCTGAGCCAAATGCAACACCTTTATGTCAATTTGGGAATCTTGCCACTGAAGGAAACAGAGAGCCAAAGGTTCTCTTGTTTTGCCTCGAGTCTAGAAGCTAACTCTCAAGGTATGGTTATTGTTTTAAGAGAGGTCAGAGTAGGCCTGTGATTTCCATTTTATAATTGAATTTCAGTATACAGTTTCAACAAAGTGCTCATTTGTAGCGGTTTGTGTGGTGAGTTTGGCAGCCGGCTTCTGCTGTAGGAAGTACAGCTTCATGGGATTTCTGCTGACTCATTTCTACAGCGATACTTAGCCTAAGTAAACAGTGCTGAAGAATAAATAACAGAATGGAAAGCTGGATTGTAGGAGCTCATTTCCTTGACCTTTCAAGTAACTCTGAGACTTCATACTGACAATCTTCTGTATGAATGGTAGCTCAAAGTCAGGACATTATCTTACTTGCTTCCAGCGTTTTCTCTTTATGTGATGGGCTGCTTGGCTCTCCTGTGCCCAAGGTGCTGGTGGCGATCACTCTGAACTCGTACTCAATCCAGGGGATCAGATCCGCCACTGTGGTCATCTCTGTATTCCCTTCTACATCTGCAGGAGCTAGAGAAAAAAAAAAACTGATTTTAATGTACAGTGCCAAATTGTCAGGGTTATAGCACGGTATATTCAAATAATGCACACCATAGGCTATGCTATCCCTCTATTTAACAAAAATGTCCTTAAAACAACAATAAAGTTTCATTTTTGGAGTAAATTCCTATATTTTAGGTCCTTGAGGCATGACTTTAGCCATTTTTAAAGTCACATTTACAACTGTATAGGCCTAAAGTATAACTATGTGGCATGACCCAAATGATTGTAACACCAGTGCCAGCTCAGCATTTAGCTTGCAGTGTTTATTTGACAAAGCAGTGTGCTGGAGTTTCTCACATGTAGTGGCATTCTTCCAGACATCCTTTGAGAAGGAGTCCCTGTACTGGATGGTATATTTGGTGATGGGGTTATGGTTGTCTGCGCCGCGGCTCCACTGCAACATTACACTCTTGTCAGTTTTGTTCATCACTCGCACCCCACCTGGGGCTCCGGGGGGACCTGAGGTACAGAAAATAATAAGAGACACGTTAAAAGGCTTATTTGATGGATGATGAAGAGTGTGGCCGCAAATCACACTTTCCCTTACCCTTCACAAGTAAAACTCCTCTAACAGGATCACTTTTAACTTGTCCCGACAGCAGATAGTGAACATTTAATTAATCACAAAGAGGGTATAGTTCTACTAAAAGAGCTTAATCTTATTCAAGCTCATGGGAAAATTCTTAGCTACAGTACTGAACCGTTTATCAACTTTATACTTCAACACCAGTCTTCAAAAAGCTGACTGCATATGAAAAACAGCACTTCAAACCCTTACATTCTTCAACTTTAAGGCGAACCACCCCAGGTGAATAGGGTAATTTTTTTTTAACTTAAAGGTATCAGCTAGAAATGTCTCCAGTTAATTACTTACAATAAGGCAATTGTCTTTTGTATTACAAGTTTTCTGAAATAGCATGTTTAAATATGCAAATTATCCATTATCTCATTAAATATGCACATATTTTTAACACATTTCAGGAATCGAAATCTGAACTTTGGATATAGCCAGATTCAAAATTATTGTTTCATTTTGTAGTCATATTAGTATCTAAGGCTTTCACAGAAGGGATATTGGATATCTCTTTTTATCACTCCATAAATCAGAAAATACTGTCAACAGCCCTAAAATATCAATTTTCGCCATGTTTTTAGGTATACAATGTTGTATAATTCAGGCTATGAATTATATATGAACAAACCCTTCTGTAAAAGCCTTCATAATATTGATAGGAATATAACTGGAAGGTTTGGTGTATGTACGTGCTACTGAAGTTGAAATTTCGAACTCAGAGTAGGAGAAAAAACTCAATTTGAGAAAACGACCTTTAAAGATTGCAGTGAGGCGCTAGCTAAACCCTCCTGTTCTTTGGATGATAGCTTGCGCATCGACGCACTCCGTGAAGGTATTTCATGTTCAGGGTCATTTTTTTTATATAACCTTGCTTCGTGCAAGTGACAATTGTTGTCGTCTTCTCTGTGAACGTTTTTTTCGCCGTTCTTTTGGCATTTTGAGATTTCAATTTCTAGCTGATAGCTAACCAGGAAGTGTTTTAGCACACCACGTGACGCATCTGAACGAATCACGTTGTCAGAAATTGACACCAGCCAATGAGATTTCGTTTCTTGGTTTAAGACCCCTTTGTGCTTTCACGATTGGTTGCTGATACAAAGGAAATGACCATATTTGGATCCGATGAGATTGTGCAGGAGAGACACAGCTTTCCAGCGATACCTCTGTTGACATGGTGCACACAGCGGTCGCGGTACTTTATGTTACGTTAGAATGCTAACTTTTGGTGAATTTAGGAGAAATCTACAGACGCAAATAGACAAACTATAGTAAAATAAACACTTAAATGTGTATTTTGTACGTTTTCCTTCCAAAAGCCTGAAAGAAAACATGTTATGGAATCAAAATAGCACAAAATCTCAAAATTGACCAGTACTTGAAAAACGATGTTTTTGCCTGCCGTGTCTCGCCTTAAAAGACATCAGCGAAGAATGATGGATTAAGATTTACATCTTAAAGCCCATTGACATATATAAACTAAAACTTAAGCACAAGCGTTTGAATCCAGTGTTTCTGTTGGTCCTCCTGCTCTCCTGGATTCTTCCTAAGGAACATAAAAACGGCCTAATAGAAAAGCCAGACTGTATCAAGGTTAGCTTCCCAACCCGCAGCCTCAGACATCAGCCAGGATTTACTTTTTTTTTTAAGTCTTGAAACTAAGCTGAGACAAGTAAGGCGATTAGACATCCAAAGCTTCTGACCCTTCAGCTTCCCCTCGCCTAAGGAGTGAAAGCAAAGACGGTGAAAAATCTCATTGCAAGAAATGAAAAGTACATGCAGATTTTAAATGTCCGTACAACAGTCACAAACAACTAGCCTGGCAACATGTTTTAAACTTACTGACATACTATTTATCTAATATATCGTATTCAAATTATTCTTGCACTATTTTTATTCGATTGTATTTGTATTTACTTGCACTATTTTATTTGTTTTATTGTGTTGCACTGTTGGAGGAGCCTGTTGACATAACTACACTGTAGCTATGTACAAATGACAATAAAAGCCTTGAATCTACTGTTTAGCAAAGTTCATGGATAGTTTTCATAATCCAGAGACAATTACATTAACCCCACCACATTTCAACACGGTTTCAGGCAAGACTGTAACATTACCCTAGAATAACACACACACACCCGTCAAATGAAAACAGCTCTTCTCCCTATCTGAAATCCCTACTAATAACAAGCTACAGGTGCAGAGCTGTGTCTTTAGCTCGGGCGATCTCCTGACGCAGATCTGCTTCCTCATCTGCCGTGATAAATGGCCGTCTTTCATCTCTCCCTGGCTGCGCTCCGGACCGCTGGCATTTGGCACTCCATTAGGAGCCTGTGTTTTGCTTCTACTCTGGGAAACGTTACAGTCAGCTGCTGTGCTTTCACCTGGCCATCTGTCAACACCTGCTCAGAAAGCAGCAGCGGCGGCAGCACACTCAGCGCACAACAGGGATCACCGGCAACCAGAGCACTGCTAAGAGTTCTTGGGTTGCTATCTGAAGAGGCCCTTTGTCCACCAACACTAGGCCTGTTTCAGGACCCGAGGGGAGGCTGTAAGGCAAGCCCTCACTCATCAGGAAGTGGAGGCTGAAAACAGAGCCTAATGAATCATCCAGGAGGTGAAATACAGTAGATGACAGACAGAGCGCAGCAGAAGAGTGGCAGTGTTTGTTTTGCATGTGTTGGCGTCCATATGTGGCTGGGAGAATAAGAAGTGAAATCATCAGCACTCTGTATGAAAACACTGTGATTAAAGAAAGAAATCTATGATGATCTTCTACACACTTAAGTAATCAAATACTCATCACATGGCATTACACAACTGATGTCCACAAACAGGGTAGTTGCTGTTATGCTGACAGCCCTACAAAAAGTGCTACTTTATTCAGTTATAATGAAGATAAGGGGGCGCTGACACGCATTCAAAACCCTTCCTAATGCTCCATTCAATTTAATCAACTCTACAACTGTTTCTAAAACCAGAAAAACCCAACCCAATCGTCTTTGCCTGGCTGAGTTCCTGACGGTTCCTGAATTAAAAACTTTTTCTGGCTCTTTCTCTTTTGATTTCCTTCGCATTGGGTCTCAGGGTCGAAAGGATATCTGGCAATAACAGCTACGGTCTGGTTACTCTGAAGAAATGAACTCATATTCGAACATGCATTGGATAACGTACTCTGTCTACTTTGTCTTTTTTCCAACACGTGGCCTGACAATAAGGAGTTGGGGAAACATTTTAATGAGTAGTGTAGAAATATGTGTCTGATGAAGTGTGGAATGATGTTGTCTTCGGTTCAGTTTAATAAGCTCTAAATCAAACCCCTAGGAAACTTGGCTTTAATTGTTAGTATTTCTATAAAACATTATATATTCATTCAAAAGTAACCATCAAATATTACATTTTAATAGCTAGTTATTAGGGGTTTAACAGTCAAAAATCCTGCTTTATCAGCTCTGAGTTGGCAGAGTTCAATCCGATTTTGTCACGATCTGTCTGTGTTGTGTTTTGTCTTTTTCTGTCTTTGGTTTCCGGTTTTATTTTGAAAAGTATTCACCTCCTGTCTTGCCTGTTGCTTTCTGTCTGTTTTCCCTCCCTGATTACCCGATTGTGTTCACCTGGTGCCCCTGTGTTTTCTTCTCCCTCCTCACCTGTCTCTTGTTGTTTTGATTAGTCCTGTGTGCATTTAGGTTCTGTGTTTTCTGTTAGTCTTTGTGAGTTCCTTGTTGTTGTTAGATCATATTCACTGGGAAGAGTTCTGTCTGAAACCTTGAAATAAAGGTATTTTCTGTTAATCTGCATTTGTGTCCTGCTTGCCTCTCTCAACCCTGACAGATTTGATGCAGTACCCAAACAATCCAAAAAGAATAATAAAATAAAACAAAAATTACAGAAATCTCTTGTAAAAAATAACAAAAACTGTGAGAACTTTGACCGAGAATATTGTTTAAATGTTAATCCCATCTCTCAGAGTAAGAAGTTGATTAAATATGTCTTCAGAAATGTTGCATCATTTTATATACAGTGTAACTGCATCATTTATGACTCACCCCTGACAACCAGGTGGGCCGAGGCGGTCATGTTGTCGATGGGGGTCTGGGCAGTGCAGGTGTAGCGTCCAGTGTGCTTCAGATGGACGTTCTTAATCAGCAGCTCACCGTTTGAACTTCCATTCTGCATAAAAAAACAAAACAGTTCATTGAGAACCTCAGCAAAGCTTTCCCTCTGTGTTCCTGTCGGAGCACAATTGTAATGTGTCAAAAATATGAAAAAGGACATTTCAATCACTAAGGTAATCCTTCAAGAGAAAACTTGAGCATCCAATTAGGTGAACTGAACATGGGCTTGAAGCTAAAGGTCTTCACCTGTATTCCTATGAGGAAAGGTCAAGTTCCAGACAGTGTTACCTCCTATTAGCACTCTCGCTGCAGAAAGGTTAAACCATCACAGAAATCTACTTTAAAATACATGACTGCATTTAACTCTGTTTGAGAGTCAAATTGGCTTTGCAATTGCAACACAAACAGTATCTGTCACTCCTGGACCCCATTTCTACGAGGGGAAAATCTTCCTTGTGTACAAAAATGGAGTATCATCAATCACAATCAAAATAGCGTTTGCCTAGTTGGCATGCGGAGTGACAAATGAGAAATGCTAACCGCTAACTGATGCTTTGAGCTGCACTTAGAGCCAAAGTGAGTCATGTCAACAATAATGGATGTAAGCGGAAATTGCTATTAAATTGATATAAAATGCACTATTCCACTCAGGACAGGGATGAGGAATGGCTTTTGGAGTCATACACATTTAAAGCAGGCTGTACTTTTCCATTTCAGGTATTCCAATAAAAAGACTACGTACATTGACACAACTTGAAATATGACTCCAGGCTGGAGCTGAGCGGTTTGGGTAGAGTTGGCGCTAAACTTCGATTATTTATGTAAACGTTTCTTTAAAATACTTGAGGACCAGCATCATGTCTCACCAGGGTGCGTTCATAATGTTGGCTTTCCTTATGTAGGTCAATGACCCGGCCATCCAGGGACCAGACGAAGGTGATGTCAAGAGTGGTGTCATGTGACGCTGCACACTGCATCGCGATGGTCTCACCCACTTTGACGTCAGCATTGGCCGGTGCCAACGTGATCTTAGTGGAATCTGGGGAGCAACGCAAGGGGATGAGAGTATCAGTGATGATGAAAAATAGATCAATCCAGCAGTAGAAACTTCATTAAGGTACGAAATGGAAATGTGATTTAATACTAGATTAAAACAAATAACAGGAGAATTATTTAGGAATCCAAGCGGTCAAATACTGAAGTAGACACATCTGTGGTACAGATGTGTCTACTTAGCTAATGGTGTGTAAATGAGTGTTAAATAACTAGAACTGTTCAATGTGCACAAATGTCCAGAAGAGGGCAGAAAAGAGCTATAAATAGAGGTGTGACGTCTGGGATTTCATGTCTAAAGAAAAAATAATCCCAAGCAAAAAATAGCTCATAGCAATTTGATTATTTGCTATTCAATAAAACTGTCTCAAAAAAGGTTCATAATTCAAACAATTGTTCTCATTTATCATTGAACAGTGTAAGGACCGAGCTGCTGTCACATCTAATCTAATCCAAAGCAATCCCCTCACGCCTCTGTCCTTGGGGAGCGACTGAATATCCAGCCTGTATACTGTCACTCCGCTCAGAGGGACATAATTCAACAGTAGACATTTGGAGGTCAGAGCTGTTTTCTTGAACCCAAAATGACAGGAATGATTGCCAGCAAAGGTCAAAGCATCACTGGAAACAATAAGTCTAAAGAGAGTTATTAATTTGGCTTCATTACCTGTGACCAACAGATCCCCCGTGCTGTTGGCCTTGCCCCGGTCGTTCTCGGCAAAGCAGGTGTAGCGTCCTTTATCTGCCCTCGTCACGTTGAGGATCTCCAGGCTCCCATCCTCCAAGATGAACACCCTGAGAAGGAACAATTATTCATTCTTCACACACTGTTGAGAAAGAGCTGTAATATAAAATATTCAGCACGATATGGAGGTCAAAAGTTCAGAGTATGTTTTCCTATGCATGATGAAGAATGAAAAATGATGAAAGTAGTAGGCAGTTCCCTAATGGGATGTAGGGTTCTCCAAGAAACAGAATGTGAACTTGAAACTATTCAGCAACATTAAATTGAGCTAGCAGTAAGGCAATATTGTTTGATTTTCTTCTGCATATTTCATATTCATGCATGAAAAATAGCATGGTGCCAGCTGCCCTGCACTACTCCACACAGACAGTCACCATAGAGATGAATATAAGGCATTAGCTGCATAGTCAATTTGCTGCTCCTCCTCTCTGTGAGTTACTGTGGTGCATGGGGGGGGGGGGGGGGGGGGGGGGTGTGGGGTGGGGGAAAGGTTTTGGGGTTTTAGAGCTCACAGATTAGGCTTGTTTTTTTCAGTGAGGAGCACAAGACAGGGTTTACACATCCGGTCTGTCCATGCTGATGAGCTTGAGAATGAGCTTAATGTCAGCCGCTGACAGGCAGCAGAGCAGTGCTCAGCCGGCGCTGACAAACAACAGCTCTAAAGACTTTACTGGCACAAAGTACATTTAGGAGATCTCGAGCTTATTTAGATCCCTAATATCCCCTTACTGTTCTCCAGAGGGGATCCCCTCTAGAGTCGAGAGACATTACTTTCTCACACACTCGTCCTTGAGGTGATATGACCCAGATGTGTCTCTCAGTCACAGAAAAAGCATGATGAATATTTGCATTTAAAACTGCAGTACAAAGGAAAACTCTGCCGTGATAAACCCCTCTGAATGAATAAACAATATGTACGGATAAAAAGACAAAAAGAAGTATGCTGTTTATTTAGAGAGCGCTCACCTGGTAGAGTTGGAGAGCAGCTCGGTGCCTTTGCTCCAGGAGAAGGTGGGCTTTGGAGCCGCTTTTGGTCGACATTCAATCACCACACGGCCATTTTTAGGTGCCATCAAGTCCTTCAATGGGTTGTGTTTAAATGTGGGAGCACACGCTGAGGAGGGACAGATTGGATTATTCATCACAAACTTAGTAGAATATGCATTAACTGCAGGCATGCATATATTTATAGCCCGTTGTATATTCATTTTAATGTGTAGTGTGCTGCTTTAACTTATTGGGCATGCTACTTTAGATGACCAAATTAAGTTTTTGGAAAAAATACGTTTTTTTCAGCCATGTAAAAGTGTTTTTTTTTAATTACATTACATTACATTGCATTTAGCTGGCACTTTTATCCAAAGCGACTTATAATAAGTGCATTCGACCAAGAAGATACAAACTTTGAAGAAAACAGAATCATATAAGTACATCAGGTTTCATAGAGCCAAAACATTTCAAGTGCTACTCAACTGGCTTTAGATAAGCCAGTCCTTTATTAGTATATAAGTGCTCTGTTAGTAATTATTTGTTAGTAATTATATCGCTCGAAGTCTTACTGGGAAACAATTAGTTAGTTTAAACCCTGACATTTCCATCTCTGACGCAGACATTTGTGCCACGGCTGTAGCCAAAGGGTGACTCACCATACACTCGCAGCTCTGCGTTGGCATATATGATCCCGTGGTGATTCTCTGCAATGCACTGGTACATCCCTGAATTACCAAACGCCAAGCTGCTGAACCTCATGTCTTTCCTGTTGGACTGTGGATCATAACAAGAGAGTGAAGTTAAAATATCATCAGACGACATTTCACCATTTCCAGTTTATTAGTAGCCTACAGTAAGCAAATGATTCAAATCAAACTATTGTTGACATCCACAGATGATGTTCAGGTAACAATCCATTTATTTATATGGGAGAGGATTTCATTAATGCATAATGATATCCAGCTGCATATCAAACAACCACCCCCGCTGCTGTCACTATTACTCTTGGGTATTTTCCAGGCCAGATGACAGTTGTTTCTATGGAGAGCTACACAACCCATGCTGGCAAACACTCAACACCAACAGGTACCTTCTCCTGACATGATGTGAACCCACGGTGCCAGCTTCCTGTCACTGCTGAGCTACTGAGTGTTGCCAAATGAGCTCTGTGTATATTACAGCAATAATTAAATCAACATTTATGTCACACAGTGTTTAAATGAGTTTTAATATTACCGGTTCTCCATTTATCAGCCAACGAATGCTTGGTTCAGGTTTGCCGCTTGCTTTGCAGGACATGGTGTAATCCCTACCGAGGTCTTTCTCTGAGCTGCTGATGTGCTGCACCCACTCAGGAAACGCTGCAAATGAGCAGAGAAACAGTGTTTGAGGAAAATCTGAGAAAACTACAAAGCTGCTAAACAATATGTGATTTGAAACGTAAAGGTCACCTATTATGCAAAATCCTCTTTTTCATGTATTTTATACATCAACATGTGTCCCCTCTGTGTAAAGAGATTCTGAAAGTTGCAGGAAAAAAGATTCTCTCTCTTTTTGTCCTGATCCATTATTTAAAAACCTGTCTGAAAATGAGCTGATCCGATTTTGGCCACTTTATGAGGGTGTAACGTTTTTTTGGCTTGTATAACCATTAGCCAATCACCAACCAAGGTAACCCCCCCCCCCCCCCCCCCCCACCTTATCACCTGAATCTCCTCCTAGAGCACCATTGTGTTCTTTTTAACCAAATATCTCTCAGAGGGGCGTGGGGAGTGGCTCCTTATTTTCATCTAAAGTAACAGACAGAGAATCAGCACTTTTGAAGCAGGGCTGAAACAGAGGGGATTATGGGTAATGCTGCAATGATCTGTTTGGTATTTCGGGCCAAACACTTCAGAGACATGTTTTGTATATCTGAGACCTATAATATATTGATGAAAAACAGTATAACAGAGGACCTTTAAGAAAAGAAAGGAAAAACCTGGGAAAATGTACTGATAGGAAGAGGCTTTTGATGTTACCCCCACACATCAGTGCCCTGTATTCCCTGTCAAATGTTGGAGGAGAAGAAGGAGACATGACGTACAACACATATCTCACCTTCTACAGACAGACGTGCAGCGTGGTAGTCCTTTCCTCTGGAGTTCACTGCCTCACACTGATAGCTGCCTCCGTCTTCAAACTGCACGTTGTACAGGTGCAGATGAGCCCCCGCCATCCGCACCTCGTGATTGGGCGGCATCTGTCCGTCTAACTTCTTCCAGCGGATCTCAGGGACGGGGCTGGGAAGGATAGAGAGAGAGAGAAATAAAAAACAGGGCAGTATACGCTGCAGTAAAAAGAAAATGTACTTTGCATCAAGGGTGAACTAAAATAGTTATTTGAGGGATTGACATGATGTTACTTTAGATTGTCTTTTATATAATCGTACAAAGTCAATATGTACGTATATCTGTATGTCATAATATGCTGCATCGTTTACATTTAGTTATTTTATTCAATTGCAACAACAAAGTATATATATATTCCCTATTATTTATTACTGGCAAAGCAGAAATAAACTCTCAAACTTTATCTTTATGTATTTTAATCATAAGATAAGACTCACTGGCTGATTGTCATTGTCACACTTACTTCCCCAAAGCGAAGCATTCCAATGTGATGTTGTGCCGCACCAAAGCAATGGTGTCTGGGAACTTGACTTTGAGGTCAGCTGGGTATTTCCTGATGGGACCTGAGAGGAAAGGCAACAGACCATAAACCATGACTCAGGTGCTAGACACACTTAGTGCTCATTGTAACCATCAACGTGTTTGTTTCAAGATGTCCCTTCAAATCCCCGTTGGTCATACCTACTGTAAGTGGGTCGAATAAACTAAATATACTTCTGTTTAATCACTGTGTTACTCAGATGTCCTACTGAAGCACACATAATCCAAATGAGGGTTATTTAAGGCCTTTGTTGAGATTGTAGAATCCCAGCAAGTTGCATTGGCACACTTTATCTGGCTTTATCTCTTGCTGCCTCAGTCGGAGAATTCAATTTTTAAGAACACTTTTAAACGTGATTGGGTCTATGCTGTGTGTGTTTAGATTGTGCAGTAGCAGTATATTGAGTGGATCTAGATGGGTTTTTGATATTTTGACATCTCAGACATTCTAGGAGAGGATGAAGAACCAGTCAAATGAATTTAAAGTAAAAGAGCATTTTTGTATTTAGTTGTAATTAAGAGAATGAAATGGATCCTCTGCAATTCTGATTATATACTTTTCAGCCAACCACTAACATAACTCACTACTTTATCTTATATAAGGTATTATCCAAGTTCCTAAAATAAGACCATGACACTGCAAAACACAGATCAACACTGTGATACTAGTATAAATGTTAATCCACTCAATGTAAAAATGTAGATGATATTAAACTCTGAGGATTATCTATCATGACAAATGCAATCAGTGTTTCCAATTATTGGTACGCACAGCATTTCAAAAACCAAAGATGAAAGACAGTTACGCTCTCCCTTGCCACACACATAAAGTCAAATCCTGATTTACGTCATACCCAAAAGGCATTTCATCACATGCTTGGGAAAAGCCCAAAGAACAACTGTCTGCTCTAATCCTGACCTTTTAGGTTGGACGAACATTGACGTTTGTGTTCCTCTGATAGTACTTTTAAAAACACATCTGCCATCACGAGTACATGATCATGAAAGTCAATATCAACAGTGGAAATACTGTTGGATTCCTGGAAGCTCAACAAGGAAAAACATTTAAAGAGTCGTCTTAATGGTACCTCTTACATATGGTCAAGCAAACATAAAGAGCATTAACAAACTAAAGCTGTGAAGCAGTGTGGTTATTATCTGTATGTCTGGAGATGTTAATGTTCCTGTAAATGTTTCATAACACTCTGCCTCAGTCTCAAAGCAGGTTTTCTTCTGAGCTAATTTGTTCCCATAAATCTTATATAAAGAGAACAACAGTGGCGTGACCCTATCACATTTAAAACGAGCCCTTTTGTGATTAAACACGGTGCTTCAGCGAGGCCGAGGGAGAAAAATCAATACAGTACTTTGCTGCAGCCAGACAGAGTCCTATATCTGAGCTTATTTTAAAACTCATCTCTTTAGGAAATACTTATATATTACACACACCTTATTTTGCTGGTAAAAGAGTATAGCCAGGATAGCATTCCCTTAATGTACCTTTCTTATTGATTCCTGGCCATTATAGAGACATATGTTTTAATTCTCTCTGTTGTATTTCATGATTGTATTGAGCTTAGGCTTATTTTATACATCAAACAGGTATTGGATTGCATTACTGGAATGAGAGGCATTGAGTGTATTGCATTGCAAATGTTATTATGGCCTAAGTATCACACTGAGATCAATCTTGTACAGGACAATAAAACCCAGATGTAATCACTGGTTTTATAACTGAAGTAATAAAACATCTCAAACAGCTTTAATGTAATCAAAAATCTGAGATAATCAATTGGAAAAACAATGGATAGTAGGAAGTGAGGTACTAACGTTCAGCCAGAGGTACGAGTGGGATGTAGTTGGAGAAAACGCTTTTGGAAATGGACTGGCTGGAGGCGATGCAGGAGTAGTTGCCGCTGTCGGAGGAGTCCACCTTGGAGATATAGAGGTTACCCGTTATCTGGGAGACAAAACGCCTCTTGTCCAGCGGGATGAAGGTGGGGAATTCATTGAGGATCCATCGGAACGACAGCTCGGCTGCACAGAAAGAGACAAAACGGCACCCGTCAATCAAGACTCCAGACACACATGCAAAACCTTTAGAAAGAGCCGAGGGGATTGGTGACGAAGCTGGCTCGCTTTGGATAATATGAATACATGCTAAATAAAAATAGCACAATTCTTTAGTGCTGAGGGGAATTTATTATTCCAGCATCTATTGACCTTTCAGGTGAAATCTTTTAATAATTTTAGCAGAGAGGCATAACAGAAGAATACTGAGAACATTGGGCTTGTGGAGGTAATGCTGATGCTGTGGAGAGAGAATTAACAATGCTTTCAGACTGTTGTGTTTGCAATTTGCATAAGCATGAATATGGAAAATGTGTGTGCAGTTTTGTGGGCTAAGTATAGGAAGGGAAAACAAATTAAAACCCTTGTAATGATACTAGCTTAAACTGGATATGAGACCGATGAAAACATTTGTATTTTCTCCTTTTAGATGCATTAGGGAGCAGTAAACCCAGCATGGGGATGACTGCTAACTGAGATAAAAGCTTGAAACTCATAATGAGGCAGTGACAGAGTCAGTGATGTCATTATTTGTGTACCTCAGAGGACATTAGGAAGGGCAATTCAATCCCAAGCTGATAAGGGACAAAATATATTTGGTTTATTTGATATAATCAGTTCCTCTGTGTCAGGAAATCCCCCATGTGGATACAGAAAAGAGCCCAAAGTAAAGTATTTCTAACGACTTCTACAGCATTTTTTTTCATTTAAATATACTGTAAATGTACAATCCTCCTGGAAATGTTTCTCCTGGCTGGAAAGCAACAGCACGAAGGAAGGAGCCCACACAATCAAGCACGGACCGTTATAAATCCACACAGAAGGAACCAGAAATCAAAACAGGGCACAGCGCTAAATACTGTGCTACTGTTCTATACGCCCACTCCAATCAATCAGATGCTACATAATGATGGAGGTTGAACACTCCAGCAGAAGCACACTCAGCCTTCACTGTACCTGGATAATGTGGTGGGGGGGCGCAGAGCAACACGGCCCCCTGCCCCTCTTTGACGTGCACCGACTCCCTCTCCTCCGACGAGAACAGATCCAGGTCTGAGGAACGCAGAGACAAAAATCAACTCTGAGGACGTTTCTGATTCAAGAGCTACTCAGAACCTATAGCCATACATTCATGTGTAGTGGTGTAATGTAACTAAGTACATTTACTCAAGTACTGTACTTCAGTACAATTTTGAGGGACTTGTACTTTACTTGAGTATTTCCATTTTTTCCTACTCTACAACCGCCACTACAATTCGGAGCTAAATATTGTACTTTTATTCCACTACATTGATTTAATATCTTTAGTTAATTTGCACATTTGGATTAATAATCTGAAATATAAAAACACTTATATAAGACTTAAATAACACTAGTTACACCTAGAGTACATTTCACAAGCTACCCTGCATCATATAAAACTAGCTGCACCTTTACCAGCTGTGATGACACATAAATGCATCAATATTTATAATTAAAACATATCATATATTATTCTGTAATGGAATAATTCGCATAATGAGTATCTTTACTTTTGGTACTTTAAGTATATTTTAATGCTAATCATTTTGTACTTTTACTTGAGTAACATTTTGAATGCAGGACAATTACTTGTAACAGAGTATATCTGGACTTTGATACTTCTACTTTGACTTATGTACAAGATCTGAGTACTTCTCTCACCTCTGTTCATGTATACTTTACAGTAATATCTAAACAACTGACACTAAAGGTTTTAAGGTAACATAAAGTTCAACAACAGCTTATGAATTGAGCTGTAGTTGACGGTAAAATAAAGTACATTAGTCACACTGGAATCATGAAGTAAGACCAATCACAAATGGCTCTTTCTACACCACTTATCATTTGTCCCAGCTGCCCTTGCCATTTCATAGCCCTTAATATGCATGAAAGTACAGCTCCAGGGTAGCTCTGTTAAATCTGCATGGTGCTGTACATCATTGCAGTATGGGAGTTAGGATCTGGGCTACTTACATCCGAACTGGACTGAGGCTTTTCGGCTGATGATCGTGCCGTGCAGGTTGCTAGCCAAACACAAGTACTCTCCTACATGTTCGGTTTTTATGGGATTGCTGATGACTAGGTTGCCTCCTACTAATCTGTAGTGACTGCTTTGTGCTTTCATGTCAATGTCCCTGCCTTCCAGCATCCACCTGCAAGGAGAACAATTAGTGTCACTACAGCAAAGCATTGTAAAAGCTGTGTAAAGGAGTATATTCAAGTTTCAAGTTTATTGTCATTTGCACATAAGCTACAGTGTAGATATGGCAACTGCTCCTCCAACAGTGCAACATATATATAGGACATAGAACAAATAAAGTAAATATAGAAATAGAAATAGTGCAAGAAGAGTCTATATACAAGTAAATGGAATGATATAATAGATAAATAATTAGCAAAATCCAAGCAGATGAATGTTTGGATGAATGGATTTTCTTAAAAAAGTTCAGGTGTTTCATATCATTCTATATGGTGGTACATTATTACTATATGGCCCCTTATGGTGTGGCAATATCTGCATTATAGTAGCCCCTTCTTGCAATAGACATGTGCATATTGTATTTTACAAATATCAAATAGTTCTGAAAAGCATAACTGACTGTACTGTAGATGAACCCTCTTAATACCAGCTGTGGTCAAAGCTTATTCCGTCCCCTCTGACATCTAATTCTGGGCTCTCTGACAGTGAGACCGATTTGGAGGATGCCAAATAATATCATTTACATCTAAATTGAAATAGATCATGCGAAACAATTTAAATTTCGAGCTGCAGTATGAGACACCATGGCAGTGCTGTTGCAGGAACAACATCATATTTGTTATTCATTTTTTCCCGGCGCGTAATATTTCTTGTTATATTCCATTTTCGTTAGTATGCTGCAGACAAATTGAGTTGAGCAGATTGTTTGACAGCAACACTATTATGTGGGAAAATCTGTCACAAACACTGCGGGATGCACACACGCACATGATGCACCTCGGTGGTGCATAGAGGTTAACATCAACATCGTAGGGACCTTGCCATTTAAAGGGCAGATCATAACACAGTCTGAATTCAGCCTGAGAGATGGCAAGCGATGGGAGGCACACAGAAAGCACAGCGGGCAGTAATGACACCGGCTTTTTGGGGAACATATGTTACTTGTATGTGGCAGGTGGGTTGGCCCGGGCCCGGCAGCTCATGGTGATTTTTGCCTCGGGCGACTCCTCCGGGTAGATGGTTTCCACCGGCTGCTCCTCAAACACTGGCCCGTAACCTGTGGCTTCATCTGGTGACAACAAACAAACAAAACCAGGGTAAATCAACAAGCGGAGCTTACAAACGGGAAATATCAAAGTGTTAGAACTCAGTGTCTGTCTGGCAGTTCTGGGACAGCTCCATCAAACACAAGACAGCCAGGTTCAAATGTAAGAGGAAAAACACACATCGACTAGACTGTGAGATTGTCCCTGTGAGGACCTGCCTTTTGATATGTTTTCACACACTTCTATTGCTCAGTGGCTGGTTTCAGAGGAATCCTGGCTGTAGCTAATCCTATCTGTGATTTGTGCTGCTGAGTTTTATTCAAAATCACAACACCACACTAATTATGACAGTGATGTGCTCACTCAGGTGCCAAACCAGAGTGACACATTCATCTCTTGCCAATGGAAATTATATTGTTACAAGCCAATACAATTTTTGGAACTGGAAATGCTATCTTGACTTGGCATAATCCAAACGCCTTTCATACCGTGTGCGTCATCCTCAGTGTTGTGAAGCAGATGTGCACAGGCGAATCCTGGGAGAAAAGTCTCCTTGAGGAAAATGCCTTTCTTGGTTCAATCTGCCTTTTACACCATCAACACACACGTACAATTAGCCCCAATTACTCATTAGAACAGACAGACATCGGGAGCAGAGGCATGAATAAGACATAAACACAATGCCAGGCTATGAATAAGCAATGAGGTGAAATGTTCCCAAACACTGATTATTCTCTCAGATCAAGAGTGTGTGTAGGTGACTGCAGCATTACAAATGTGAGGCGTGTATAGACGTGTGTGTGTGTGTGTGTGCACGTGTGTGTTGTTATTCCCCTGCGTCTCGGAGTTCTGAGAGAGCGCAGCTGACACCTCAATGGGGAGAAGCTCGCTCTTTCAGACAGTAATATCCTGCTTCTATTCCAGCCTTCTTTCCAGGCCTGAATTGGTGCTTTCACTACCTTTGGAAATGTCATATTAACTGACAGGGAGCAACCTTTAGAAACTCGAACAAAAGATGCATTTTCACTTCAATTTAATGCCACAAAAAACAGGAAACTATGTGTGTAGAAAAATAAAGCAATAATAGTGAAAGTGGAAAATGCATGAGTGCATATTTATCAGTCTCAGCTGTAGGGAAGCAAAAGGAATTCAAATGGTATAATCCTAACCAGAACGAAGACAGATTCGTAGCCACACAAGTTAGCTGCACCCTCATCGCACCAGGACGGCCAACCAGGAGGGAGCAATTAAGATGTTAGGAGACAGGATACACTCCCACTCACACACTCCAGCAGCTAACCGTGTGTGTGAGTGCCCGACGCAAATCCCAATGATTCTGAATAACTGCTGGCTGAGAGAGAATTAAACATACTATTAATGGGGCATTGTGGGGCCGACGGAACGCAAATGAACTGGGAAACTGTGTTCTTGGAACAAGAGAGGAAGAAAAAGGAATTGAAGGGAAAAAAATGCAATTGGAAGAATCAAGGATGGGTACAGCTAAGGGAATATAGTGGCCCTGTTCCAATGTTGCAGTTAAATTGCTCTGCGCGAGTGTAAGATAAATGCTTTACATGTAAATATGAAATATAAATGTGGAATGGGCTGGACGGGGGGAGCCAATGAGGCGCTGGTGCAGTGCTGGAATAGCAGTAGGAGTAAAACGCAGAGGAATGAGCGCTGGTGCCGATCCTCTCCCTGTAATGCTGGTGGTGACAGATGGTGAAGGGGAGGGTTGAAGCAGGCCACATAAGGCCCACGGCCTGGAGACACACACAGGCCTCTCACATTCACTCTGCCTCAATTCACTTTCATATCTAACTCTCTCTGGCTTCCCTGTGTCCTCACTTCATCTCTCTAAACTACAGTATATCCCACTGTCAACCCACTGCTCCTCACGATTTCCCTTTCCTGGATTTCCTTCTATAAATACTTCCATTTTAAAAGACTCTTAACTCTCTAGTTAGCAATGCTACTTGCTAGCAACATGGCTCCAGGGATGGGAAAGTCAGTCAGTCAGACCACCACTTCAGGCAAGACTGACATATCGAAACATTATTGGATGGATTGCAATGATTCTGTTTATACACTCATGGACCCCCACAGCTTCTCTATGAGGTTGGCCTTTTTTTTTGTGAAATAACAACTTCCACGCATTACATTAACTTTCTGTATAGACATTCAGATGCCAAAGGGATGAACACTTATTACTTTGTTTTCACATGTCTGTTTTTTTAAGTGAAAGTTAAATAGTTTTTCCGGAAATGACTACAGACATTTATATCCCCCTCAGGATGAATGGTAAGTGGTAAATGGACTTGCATTTCTATCGCACCTATATCGACCACTTTAAGCACTTAAACACTACATGTTAACATTTACTCATGAACACACACATGCATACACTAATGACCAAGCTTCATCAGGATCAGTCACAAACACTGATGTCTGTGACTAAAGGAGCAATATGGCTTTCCGAGGAAACTTCGGGAAGCGGACTGCAGAAACCAACTCATTTTCAACTGTTGGATGATCCGCTCTACTTCCTGAGCCATGGCTTCCCGTCTAATTGCAGTAACTTTGGGGAACATTTTGTGTAGTACCATTATAAGGTTCATTTGGACCAACACTGGATTATGACCAAATATAATTGATAAAAGATATCCTGATGTATCTACCAACAAAACTATACAATTCACATTAGCCGTGAGAATACTTTGTGTGAGAAGCAAACTCTTTCCAAACCTCCAAAGCCATATTCCTATTTCAATCCCTCTTTTTTTCCAAGTGTCTCTTGGGTTCTCTGTTTCCCCTGCATAAAACACTTTCACTGTCTCTTCTTTGAAAATAAGTAGACTTTGGATGCCCTGAATCGCCCTGTTTAACAAGCGAGTAATTATTTACGCTCAGCCGCGCACATAAAAAACAAACACATACTTACAGATAAAAACAGAACTTACTCTCACGGAAGACCACATCCATACAAATGGGGGAAGACATTCAAAAACCCACAATGAAGAAAGTCAGAGTCTGGGAGTCATTTTCCTCTGAATGGATCTCATTATAAAACACAGAAGAGCTTGTACGTTTAGACTTGTTTGCATTTTAAATGTTAAAGTCTGTTCATTTATCTTCCCCAGCATCAGTTTTTTAAATCAATATTTTTATATTTGTTTGTGTTTTCTAAATTGGAGATGTGTTTGTTTATTTTCTACTTTATTTGACTTTCAAATTACGTGCCATGCCTTGTTTACAGTACATGCTGCTGTGACGAAAGAATGTCCCAAATTGGGACCAATCAAGTCAATCGAATCTAATATAGTTCTAATGACAAATCAATCTTCCTTTAAGCTTAAGGGATCATCTAAAATAGGTGCATGAACATTAATTGTAACTTTAATATACAGGTGATCCTAAAACAACTGCACTGTGTCCTATTTGTTACTTTATTTCATCTTTGTCAACACTTTCTGCTGGTTCATATGTTGCACTTCCCTTATTGAAACATGTTTTTTTTATTGAGAATTGTTTTTATTTTCACATTTGAATAATCACATAATTGAGCCAAATCTCAGAGGAACTTCTCCCTCTGATGAATTTAACTTTACTTACAGCTGTGTGTTTCTCTTACATCTGCTGCATGGTTTGTTTGCATGACCAATGGTGTCCAAGTGGGACAGATAACATATTGTGTCCTGGAGGCACCCAAAGCATGGTGTAGCAATAATTACCCACAAGCCCTTGAGTCACATAATGAAGCGTGGTGGCTGACTAATTTCTCCCTAGGGTAGAAATCTACTTTTTAAATTTGATATGTAGAATAAATAATTACTCTGCTTCACTGCCAGCCCAAATCGTATTTCCATGCTATCCTGCAGTGAGTGTCAGTGAGTGAGCGCTCGGTGTGGAGCCAGCTGTGCAATCACAACCGCTGTCAAACTAAATATTCTCCAACATGATGGCTGCGACAGAACAGAGCATTTGAGAGGGTGACTTTGAATACAGCTGTTTTCCAAAGTCACAACAATAATGAATGTGAAAAACCATCTAATACCGTAATTGATGATCACTAAACAGTATTTAACTTCACAGACTACCTCTCATGCAGAATAATCCACATCTTGGCTGTCCATCAGATGTTCAGCTTATTTACTCTATATATTTACAATTGAGCTGCAGCTAGCAATTATTTATATTATCGATACATCTATTGACCAATTTGCTTCGTTTTTTTCAATTAAGTTTTGAAAAATGCCTCATTCAAATGTCTTGTTTTGTCAGACCAAGAGTTCAGAACCCAAATATATACAGTTTAATATCATGTACATCAGGGGTGTCAAACTCAATTTCATCACGGGCCACATTCACATTATGGTTGCACTCAAAGGGCCGGTTGTAACTTTAAGACTATATAAAAATACATATATAAATATTTAATATATATAAAATAATGTATTATATTACATCATTGCCTCTGCATTGGATTATTATCGGATAGGGTAATAACTTCATAATTAACTCGGTCTGAAAGCAGAAGTCTAGGGCAAATAATTGCAAGTCTCTTCAGTGAGAATGTTACAAAATGATTTTAAAATAAAAGCAACATTTAAAAAAGTGACATTTTGAAAAAAAAGTCACTTCTGAGAAAAGGGCAAATTCTTGGAAAAAAGGCATATTTAAAAGAAAAAAGTCTAATTTGAGATGCATTGTGCTCCATGGGCAACGTGCTTCTGTAAATCGCCATGTAACCGTATAACAAACATATTATATTCTTTGCAAGCTCTTGTGGGGCCACATGAAATGAAGTCGCGGGCCGGATTTGGCCCCCGGGCCTTGAGTTTGACACCCTCACATTTAAAAAAACAAACAACCAGCACTGTTAAACTTTCCAAAAATACTTATTTTTGGAAAGTTGATTGCCTGTTGTAAACTGGAATACACTACAGGGCAGGAAGTCAAACCAAATCACCCACATGCTAAACAATATCATGCTTCAAAATTGAGATGAGTGGTGTACTCATGA